CTCAAAATAAAAAAATAAAAATGGGGTGGGGTGTAGTTCAGTGTGAAGGTCTTAGGTGCTACCTCAGGATCACACACACAGTTATGCATGCGTGCGCGCACACACACACACACACACACACACACACACGATAAGTAGAATGTGGAGCAGAGTTTTACACTAGTGAAAGTACTCTGTATGATGAAATAACTGATGATCCATCACCCTCAGACTTGTTCAAACTCATGGAATATATAAATCCAAAAAGTCAACCCTAATGTAAAGTACGGATTCTGAGTAACACTGCGGTGTCAACGTGGGTTCATCGATTGTCATAAGCACACCACTTCGGCAAGGGATGCTGATCATAAGGAGGGCTGCGCGTGTGTGGAGGTAGAAAGTCTGTGTACCTCCACTCATTTTGCCGGAAACCTAAATCTGTTTAAAGGAACAAAATCTATTGAAAAAAGTAAACAAAATAAATATAGGTTTCCAAATTGTACGCTGTGGAAATACGTGCTTTCGGCCTGCTGTCACTTGGTAGCCATTTTCTTTAGGACAGTAACCAGTGATTCTCAAGTGTGTATGTACATTATGCAATAAATGAGAGGGAGGGCAGGAGACGGAGAAGGAGAAGGAGGAGGGGAGAGGGAGAGGGAGAGGGAGAGATTCAAGCACCTTTTAGAGTCTTTTTATTCCCCACAGAACTCTTTGAGTGAAAATATGTATTTGAAAATAGAGAATACACTGCCCTTTCTGGTGACCCATTGGTGAGGCTCAGGTCACAGCCATGGCCAGGATGCTTTTCTCGCTGCCTCACCGTGGGAGCCGTGCATGACCACTGTGTGGGGCTTTATTTCTAGCAGCAGGACTCAGGAGCTGAGACTGGCCAGTGTCAGAGCTCAGACCTCAAACAATCATATACCTTTTACCCTTTTAAAAACAAAGAAAAGAAAAATGAGTTAATCAAATCCAAATCTGCAGAAAACAACAAATAAAACAGCCGCAGATGCATACAATTTGGTTCATCTAGGGAGGATCACACTGTGCATTCGTTGGATCTGCAGAAAAAGTATTGAATGGCTAATAATAGGCAGTCACTTTGAGAACGTGGGAGATACAATTTCTCTTGCACCGTCAGTGAGAATGTCAGTATTCCTATCACTTTAGGGACTCACACATGTAAGAATTTTTCAGGATATTGACCTTACAGAATCTTTTGGATGTATCCTAAAGCGACACAAAGCATGGTTGTGCGAATCAACATTTTAAAGAAAAAAGAAAGTATATCGATACAAGAATTGATTCATAAATTTAATATGCATGCAGTGAAGTGGCATAATAGTTCAAATAAAGGAGCTTAGATCTGCATGCACCAGTAGGACTGAATTAGAACAAATAATGCTGACTATAAATAGCCATGTGACAAAACAACACATACAGTATGATGCAAATTAATTTAATATTTTATTTATTTACTTATTTTATTGATTTATTTTTTTTGCTGGCTCAAGTTGCCTTAAGGGTGGGTCTGGTAAGGCATGGGGAGCTGGGGATCGAACCGTGGTCCCCAGTGCCTGGCTGGATTTGCCCCAGCAGGCACTTAAACAACTGAGCTAACCCCCAAGACCCCTTATTTTTATTTTAAAGATAAAAAATCAAAATAATAACAAGAACAAGGATAATAACAAAGCAACATAGAACAATAAAAATGGTGAAGGATTTCAAAACAAGAAAAATACCCAGACGGGAACTAGCTGGATTAAAATTAACAATGATTTGTACATTGCATATGGTTAGCATCAAATTTCTTGCTCAGGTTACTAGTTATAGGCATGCAAGATTGACCAAAGAATTGAACATTAACTTTTCCTTTCAATAAACCTTAGTTTTTTCCTTGTCCTTTTTACTTTTTATTTTTAAGTTTATTTCAAAAAGAGTGTGATAATAATAGATAAGACATTAGAGACAAAACATATTTTAAAAAATAGGATGAAAAGTGTTCAAGCATGGTTGTTGTCTCAGTTACTCTTCTCTCGTTGCTGGGACAAATAGCTGATACTCAAAATGAAGGAAGGAAAGGATTATTTGACTCGTAGTTACTGGAGGTGTCCGTCCTTAATTAGCGGGCTCCAAGGCAGAGTGGCGCAGGGCAGAGAGCATCTATTCATGGCGGCAGCAAAGAGCAGAGAGCAAAATGGAGGAGCAGCAGCAATAATGGTTACAGAGAGCAAGTCTGTCTCTCTGTCTCTCTTATATTATATTCAGACTATCTACCTCAGGCTGGGTATAGTAGTCACACCCATAATCCCAGCAGTAATCCCAGTGGATCATGAGTTAATTTCAAACTCTAGAAGTCCGTCCCATGACGGCCTTAGGCTTTGGGGGGAAAGCCTAATGTATTAGGTTGGTGGGATGTAGACACAAACCATAACAAACTGCTAGCTTCAAAAAACTGATAGAAATTAGTAGTAAAATCATCTCAACTACCCTGAGTGCATACGTGATTTGCCCCCTTCCTTTTTTTCTATCTTTTCTCCTTTTCCTAATCTCAATTGTTTATTCCTTATGCTCAGTTTCTTTCTGTTCTGTATATTGTACTTTATCTATTGTACTTTTCAGATTTTATTTATTTCTTTCAGGTACTTACACTAGGGAGACAATATGATGTTTACACATGTGGGTCTGATTTATTTCACTTAGGAGGATAGCCTATAGTTGCATCCATTTACCTATAAATTCCTCAAGTTTGTCTTTCTTTATAGCTGAGTAATCCTCCAATGTATAATAATACTTCTTTTTTTATCCATTCCTCAGTTGATGGGCATTTGTGTTGTTTCTAAGATTTAGCTATGACAAATTGTACTGCTATAAACATGGGTGCACATATATCACTGTAGTATGGTGTTTTCAGTTCTTTTGGAAAAACACCCAGAAGGGATATAGCTGGATTGAATGGGACTTCTAATCCTAGTATTTTAAAATGTCTCCACACTGCTTTCCATAGTGGTTGTGCAAGTCTACATCCCACCAACAGTAGACAAGGGTCCCTTTTTCCCCATAGCCTCTCCAGTATCGATATTCTTTTTTTTAATGTTAGCCATTCTTTCTAGAGTGAGATGAAATCTCAGTGTTTTTTAACTTGCATTTCTCAACTGACCAGTGCTGTGGAACATTTTTTCATGTATTTATTAGCAATTTGTATTTCTTCCTCTGAGAAGTGTGTGTTCATCTCAGATGCCCATTTTTGGATTGGGTCTTTGAACTTCGGGGGCCTGATCTTTTATAGTTATTTATGTATTCTAGATAGGAATCCTTTGCCTGAATGACTATAGGTTAAGACTTTTTCTTGGTTTGTGGGTTATCTTTTCACTCTGTTGGTCTTTTTTTAACATGTACAAACTTTTAGATAGGATTAGATCCCAGTTGTTGATTCTTTGAAGTATTACATGTGACGTTTGGTTTTTGTTCATAAACTCTCTCTGCCTACACCTATGTCTTCAACATATCCCCCTACTTTCTATTCCAGTAGATTTAGTGTTTCTATTTTAATGTTTAGATCTTTAATCCATATGGATTTTAGTTTAGTCCATGGTAATAGACCTGGATGTAATTTTAGTTTTCAGCATGTAGAGAGCTAGTTTTTCCAGCACCATTTGTTCAAGAGGCTTTCTTCCATTGAACATGTTTTGAACCTTTGTTAAAATTAAAGTGCTGCTGCCTCTGTTTCCTGGGAAGTAGACTCAGCTCTCTCCATCTTCCCCTAACTAGGCCTACAGAACAGGGACTGACTCTGGTGTAGGAGAGGTATTTAAGAAAGGAGCTTCACCTGGGCTGTCTCAGCCTCACATTTAAAAAAAAAAAATTAAAGTGGCCGAATGTGTTTTTAGGGCCAGGGAGATAGCTCAGTAGAATAAGTGCTTGCCTGGCAAGCACAGGATCTTGAGTTCAATCTCCAGTACTGCAAAATAAATAAGTAAATTTGTTTTAAGTTGTATCTGCATCTTCTAATCAGTTCTATTGATTCTCAGTTCTGTTTTCATGCTAGTACCATGCTGAGTTTATCACAGTAGCTTTGCAGTACAATTTCAAGTCAGGCATTGTAATGCCTTTGCCTTGCTTTTTTTTTTTTTTTTTTTTTTTTTGGAGATTGAACTCAGGCCTTGTGCTTGTGCTTGCCGGGCAAGAGATTATTCTACTGAGCTATCTGCCCAGCCCCCTGCCTTGCCTTTGTTGCCCAGGATTGCCATTGATATTCTAGGTCTTTTCTGGTTCCAAATTAATTTAGGAATATTTTCTCCAGATCTGTGAGGTATGCTGATAGTATTTTGATAGGAATTGCATTAAATTTGTATAACAATTTTGGGAGTATAGCAATTTTCACAATGTTTGTTCTTCCTAAACAGGACCAGGGAATACCTTTCCATTTCCTGAAATCCTTTTCAATTTCTTTCTTCAGGGTATTGTAATTTTCATTGTGTGGATCTTTTAAGTCTTTTATTAGACTAATTCTTAAGTATTTAATTATTTTGGATGCTATTGTAAAAGGTGTTGTTTCTCTAATTTTTCTCAGTGAGTTTGTGGTTTGTGTGGAGAAATGCTATTGATTTTTGGGTGTTGACTTTGCATTCTGCTATACTAAAGAATTTGTTTGTTAATTCTAGGTATTTCTTAGTAGTGTATTTTTATGCCATCTGTGAATAATGATAGTTTAATTTCTTCCTCTCCAGTTCTTATTCCTTTCATTTCTCTCTCTTGTCTAATGACCCTGGCTAACATTTCCAGAAATATATTGAATAGGAGTGATGATTATGGACATCCTTGCCTTGGTCCTGAGTTTGGAGTAGTTCTTTCATACTTTCTCCATTTAGAATGATGTTGGCTGTTGGTTTATTATAGATGGCTTTTATCAGATTGAGGTATAGACCATCTACTTCAATTATCTGTAGGGTTTTTCTCATGAATAGTGTTGAACTTTGTCAAAAGCATTTTTCTGTGTGTATGGAGAAAATCGTGTGGTTTTTGGTTTTGGCTCTGTTGATATGGTTTATTACATTTGTAAATTTGCATATGCTGAACAATCTTCGTATTCCTGGATGAATCCTATCAGGTCATGGTGTATAATCTTCCTGATGATTTGCTTCATTCTATTTGCTAGTAGTTTATTGAGGATTTTTCCATCTATGTTTATGAGAGACACTGGCCTATAGTTCTCTTTCATGGTTGGATCTTTCTCTGGTTTTAGTATCAGTATAAAACTTAACTCCAGAAATGAATTAATAGTGTTGTTTCATTTTCCAATTCATTGAAGAGTTTGAAGAGTATTGGGATTAAATCTTTCCTAAATTTCACGTAGAATTCAACTGTGCCTCCATCAGGATATGGTCTTTTCTTTGTTGATAGTTTTTTTTTTTTAAATTACGTTTTCAATTTCATTGATTGATACTGGGTTATTCAGTGTTTTTGTACCTTTTTCATTTAGTTTTTGTGATTTGTACCTATGTAGAAATCTGTCCATTTCTTTGATGCTTTCCATCATGTGAGAGTAAAGATTTTCAAAGTAGCTATTGATGATCTTCTGAATTTCCACAGCATCTGTAGTACTTTTACCTTTTTTATTACTTGTTGCTTGAATTTATGTTTTTTCTTTCCTTTTTTTTTTTTTTTTTTTCAGAACCAGGGATCGAACTCAGGCCTTTGCGCTTGCCAGGGAAGCGCTTATTCCACTGAGCCATCTCCCCGGCCCCTTTTCTTTCCTTTTTTAAAATAAGGTTGACTAGAGGTTTATCAATTTTATTTAATCTTTAAAGAAGCCAGCTCTTTGACTCATTAATTCTTTGTATTGTTTTCTTTGTCATAATTGCATTAATTTCTGCTCTAATCTTTGTAAATTTCTCCCATCTTTGGGCTATGGAATTGGTTTGCTTTTCCTTTTTCTAGAAACTTGAGGTAGAGCACTAGGGCATTTGTGTATTCTCATTCTGTTTTCCTAATGAGTGTGTTCACTGCTGTAAATTCATCTCTGAGAACTGCTTTCACTGTCTCCCACAAATTCCAGTAAGTTTTGTTTTAATTTTCATTGCATTGTAGATATGGTTTGATTTCTTGTTTAATTTCATTTGAGAATCATTAGTTCCTGAGGAGGGTGTTATTTAATTTTGATGTGTTTATGGGGTTTTTGTGGCTACTTCTGTCATTAATTTCTAGTTTCATTGCACTGTGGTCAGATAATACGCATGGGATACTTTCTGTTTTCTTACATTTACATAAGCATGATCTATGAATTAGTATGTGGTCTATTTTAGAGAATGTCCCATGTGCAGCTGAAAAGAATGTTTATTCAAATGTTGTTGGTTGCAACACTCTGTAGATGTCCACTAAGTCCATTTGTTCAACTGTGTGGTTTAGTTCTGTTATCTCATTGCTAATTTTTGGTCTAATTGACCTTCTCTTTGAGAGACTGGAGTGCTAAGTTCCCCTATTAAGACTGTGTTATTGGTTATTAGATTTTTTCATGTCCTTTAAAATGTGTCTGATATCAATGGGTGCTATTTGGAGTTCTGTATGCCTCACTTAACTGTTATGTCCCTTTGTTTGGGTAGTTTTCTGCTATTCTGAAAATATTCTTTTTATGTCATTTGCATTGACTCTTTTTTCATTGACATCTATTAGTCTTATGTTGTTCATCTTTACATTGTCTTGTAGCTGTTGCATTATTATTTCTTGGTTCCCTGTGACTTTTGAGTTATCTTTCCTTTTCTGGTCACTAGCAGCAATGATGTCTTCAAGGTCTGAAGGTCTATCTTCAGTTTTCAAACAGTTTTGCCAGATTTTAATGGAATTTTTAATTTCCTGGATATTTCTTTGAATCTGTTTCATGCATTCTTGTTTATTTTCTATATTGCCCATTGAAGATTTTCTTCATTTTTCTTTGTTCCTCTATTTTTTATCAATGTCTTTAAATACACTCAGCAATTCTTTCATTATAGTTATCATTTATTTTTTGCCTGATATATTATTTCTGATATGATTGCCTTTATACTCATCTGACATTCTTTCTTTACTTCAGTTGCAATCATTTCAGAGATTTCAGGTATGTGACATCCAGTTACTTCTATGCTGGTGTCTCCTGGATTTGTTTGGGGTAGGCTGGGGGCCTGAGACTGCATTTTGCTCCTTCATCTTGTCATTTTCTATTTCAGAAAAAATTATTTTGATTTATATGCTAATTTTGTGAAATTTTGATAGTAAGGAACTATATGACTACTATCAGAGACTCTCTATAAAGAGTCTACTCTTCAGGGATATCTTCTGAAAGCAGCCATTAGTTTGTGTCTGTCCCAAGATCTTTCCTTCTCTATTGAATGAGAGTGGAATATTGGTTTCCATTTGGCACTGTCCTCCATCTTTCAGTGTAGAGCTTTGGTGAAGTTACTACCCTAGTCCTTCTCCCCAATTTTATTACCCTAGGGAGAACCTATGTTTAAGACAGGTAGAGTATCCTAGATACAGTAGTACAATTATCAATAATA